AGGGGGCTAACTCCAGCCCATCACGGATTCTTCCACACTCTGGTGGTGGTGTGAGTAGGGGGAGGCTGCAGGGGGCTAACTCCAGCCCATCACGGACTCCTCCACACTCTGGTGGTGGTGTGAGTGGGGGGAGACTGCACTAACTGTTGTTAAATTCGTTTCAATATCTCGAAAGGCTGGTTATGGATTTTAGCAACTTCTCCTTTAAAGGAGATTTTCATCATCCATGAAACACAGCGATTTTTGTGACTACTCTTGATGCACCACTTAGGAAATGGAGCACACCAAGAATATACTGGAGTTTCTATTACTTTGTCTTTGCTTCCACTTGCCGGCAGGGAGCATTAATCTACAGCTAAGGTGCGTAACTCTTTAACAGCTGGAAAGCCTCTTCATCATCAAAGGGAGGTGGAGAACCACAAAATTACCCTGTTGTGGCTAATCAGACTTGGAGCCAACAGTGATAAGGATGCACTGTGGAGACTCAACCTGACAACCTCACGGTGAGCCGACACAAGAGAACGGCACACTCAGAGAATCCTTACCGCCTTCCTGCTCTTACCTATACAGTTCCCGGAAACCTCCCCTTTATCAGGGCTCCAAAAGCCACTGGTGTAAAGACATCATGCATCTGAATGATGTCGCCAGGGTGGTGTCTCAGGGGAGGCGGGCCGCCTGGGCAGAGCAGTGGTGCCACTCACTTCAGTGCTCAGGCAGAGTGTAAAGAGGGTCACGAGTTATTATTTGACTCATTAAGGAAAAAGGTATGTGGCACTAAGTAAGTGTCGCAGAGAGGCCCTGCATCTAATGAATTCAGAGCTGGAAAGAGCATCTGAGATCCCCTAGAATCACTCCCATTTCACATATGAGAAAACAAGGCCCAAAGAGACACGACCTGGCCAGAGGGACAGTGTGAATGAGCTACAGATCTGAAGGCAGAGACCAGGCCCCCGTTTCTTCCACGGTCACCACACACTGAGCGAAGGAGCAAACCAAGAGTGGAGAGGAGAAAGGATACGAGCACAGATGGTGGCTTTGTTATCTGCAAAATGAGGAGTTCCCGTAAAAAGCACTATTTTATTTATATCATCCAGAAAGGACCAGCTAGAAGATGCGTGAACATTCTCAAAACATATTCTGACGAAGATGTGTTTATATTCCCAAATCACACTGTGATGACCACAAATGGCTCCTTTTGCTCATTCGGCAGGGAGGCAATTCTGGGGTGATGTGTGGGGTTCTGGGGTCAGACTGCCTGGCTATGAATCCCAATTGCGTCCTCAAGGAGGGAGTGACTCTGGATGCATTCTCCTTACTCTCTCTGGACTGCAGTTATCTTATCGGCAACAGTCCCTACTTCATAGGGTCACTGTGGGAAATAAACAAGGATGAGGCGAGGCACGCAAACCCCTCAGAACGGACCGCTTCATAGTCACGGCTCAACATCGTTACTGCAGCTGCAGTTTGTTCCTTTTCTCTCTCAAATACCAGACGCCTGCTGCGTGCCAGGCACTGTCCTTGGTGCTGAGGACGCAACCTGTAACCCGACAAGGCATCAGCCCAAGGAAGCTCAGTCTACAGAGAAAGAGAGCATGAACACAGGTAGTGGAGCACGAGGCGGTGATAACTGCTATTAAGAAAGATAAACTTGGGTAAACTGACAGACAGGCGTGGGTGGGGGTGGAGCAGTGATTATGTAGAGGGAATGGTTAAAGAAGGACCTCTCTGAAGACATGATACTGAGCCAAGCTGCTGACGACTCTGTCACCATCACAGGAGCCAAGTGCTACAGGTACGAGGTGGCCCCTCTAACTCAACCTGGGACCTGCAGCCCCACAGTGCAGAACTGAGAAAATCAGGCAGAGAATGGGGCTGAGGGTATGTTACACCAACCCCTTTGCTGCCTTATTTTTATTACGTATCCTAACTAATATGGTAAGTACCACAGAGATCCTGCCATGGAGCCATCACCACAACTGTGAAACATTATCTCCTTTTCAGGAATAACAAAAAGAAAAAATAAACAATGGGACTACATCAGACCAAAAAGCTTCTGCAAGGCAAAGGAAACCATGAACAAAATGAAAAGACAACCCATCAACTGAGAGAAAATATTTGCAAATCATATATCTGACAAAGAGTTAATTTCCAAAATATATAAAGAACTCATACAACTTAACAACAAAAAAACAAACAACTCAATGAAAAAACGGGCAGAGGATACGAACAGACATTTTTCCAAAGAAGATATACAGATGGCTAACAGCCATATGAAAAGATGTTCAACATCACTAAGTATTAGGGAAATGCCAATCAAAACTACAATGAGATATCACCTCACACCTATCAGAGTGCCTATGATTAACAAGACAAGAAAGATGTTGGAGGTGTTGGAGAGAATGTGGAGAAAAGAGAACCCTCATACACTGCTGATGGGAATGCAAACTGGTGCAGCAACTATGGAAAACAGTATGGAGAGTTCTCAAAAGATTAAAAATAGAACTACCATATGATCCAGCTATTCCACTACTGGGTATTTATCCAAAGAACACGAACTCAACAATTCAAAAAGATATATGCACCCCTATGTTCATCGCTGCATTATTCACAATAGCCAAGATGTGGAAGCAATCCAAGTGCCCACCAACGGATGAATGGATTAAGAAGATGTGGTGTGTGTACATATATATACAATGGAATGCTACTCAGCTATTAAAAAAAGACAAAATTGTGCCATTTGTGACAACACAGATGGACCCTGAGGGTATTATGCTAAGTGAAATAAGTCAGATGGAGAAAGACAAATACTGCATGATTTCACTCACATATGGAAGATAAACAAATACATAGATACAGAGAACAGACTGGTAGTTACCTGAGGGGAAGGGGTTGGGGGGGGCAAAAGGGGTTAAGGGGCAAATATGTATGGTGATGAATAAAAAAACTAGACTATTGGTGGTGAACACGATGCAGTCTATACAGAAGCTGAAATACAATGATGCACACCTGATATTTTCACAGTGCTATAAATCAATATGACCTCAATATAATAATTTTTAAAAGAATTCAAGAATTACTTTGAACAATGGCAGCAAATTCAGAATAACAGCATTCCAAGGTGAATCTGAGGAGGACAGTTTAATCCGGAAGTGTTAAATATCAACAATTACTTCCTAACTAGTTCACTTTTCATGGGTGTACGATCACAGGTATGTGATCCAGATTTAACATTTCACTCTGACATTCAGTTCCCTAGGATGCACACAGGGACTGGCACGGCCTGATCTTCGGAAGGCACATTTGACAGAGTATTTGAACCTAGGTGGGCAGCTGGGCAAATAGACCGATGGCCCCTCCCTTAGCTTCTCGTCCGTGCAGGGCGAGTGCCCTCCTCTGAGCTCACCCTATCTTTGCACTCTCCAAAGGCACCGACACTGTCTGTATACATTGACCTTACCCAAATGAGGCAGGCCTGCACTGTGTCTTACTCACCTGCTCCCCCAGTGCCAGCGTATCTCCTGGAACACACACACGTGCACACACACACATGCACATGCTCTCGCACTCATACACACATACGTGCAAATGTTTAAGAGAAATGTGGTTACTGTTTGAAATGTGGAACAATAGCATCGTGTCATTTGCAGAGAGGCGCTCTGCACTCAGGCAGCCGAGGCAGTCCCCCCTGGGGACCATAGGACTCCTCATCTGCGTCCCCCGACTCTGCAGGATGGGGCCTGACATCTCTGCAAGAAGAACCAACCACAGCCCTGGTGGCAGCCTGACATCACAAGCATACACCAACCACAAACGAACACACAGAAGGCCTTCCAGAGCCACAAACCGCGCAGGCCTGTAGCTCTGCTCCCCTCCGTTACTCAAGACTTGCAGCTCGTGATGGAAACTGGGATCAGTCCCCACTCCAAATGTCACCTCCTAGCAAATCCCTCTTCAATCCCTCTAGTAAAAATTAGTTACTCCATCCTCAGGGTGCCTGCAGCACACAGTTCATAATGATTTCAGTGAATGCACAGCCTACTCTGCGTCTCAGTTAGATGTTTACACCACGGGTCTCCCCCGAGAGATCATGACTCCTGGAGGCCGGGTGCCCTGAGCTGTCACCTTGACGTCCCTGGAGCCTGACAGGTGTGAGAAGCAGGTGCTTAATAAATACCTGCTGGATTAAATTTATGTAATTGGCAGAACTGACCATACAGAAGGTGCGGCTCTCTTTCTCATGCACGCACACACGCAGACACACACACACAGACGTGTTCCTGCTTTAAGTGAAACAATAACTGCTGCTGTAATTATAAACACTCATAACAACGTTACGTTCCCACAGTCCCTTCTAGAAAGCACGGCTTCTTGAGTTTGCTGAGGCTTCAATGACTTCAGAGATGAGCGAGTGTTCTGAGGAGGGTCCCTGGGTAACCACAGCAGGCACAGCAAACCCTCCATCACAGCACGCAGGCAGCGACTGGCCAGGGAGCCCTAATGAATGGTAGTGGCATCTCTCTGCCTTGATACTGCATGTCACGTCTGGGGGAAATAAATACAAGAGGAAGACAAGGAGGGTTTGGGGGTACGGCAGGACCTGTGCACAGTGAATCCATATTCAGTCCACAGAAGAAGAATTATAAGCTTCCAACCTGAAGTAACAAGTGAACTTACAAGTTAAGAAGCGATCTGACACGTCAGTGCTGCACAGGGCTGCTTGCCATCATGCTGGCAGGGACCAGGGCAACACTGATTCTGGACGAAAAGGAAAAGAGGACGCAGGCTCCTTCACTACGTATGCAGCATGGTTTCTGTAAATGTGTCTTATCTAGAAAACTACTGAGACTACAAAAAAAGCAAGCAAGCAATTTACACCATCACTTTAAAAGAAAGGAGAGGTTTCAAGTGTGCACCGCAGCTTCTGCAGTGTGGACCTGTACAACTCCACGCCATCTAACCTTCAGGCTCGTGCTGGGCGTATGAACTATGCAGAACCCTACCAGGCCATGCTGCCGTGGGCTGTGTTGTCAAGGTGACAGAGCAGCTCCAGGGTGTGCGCAGTGCTGGACGCGTCGTCAGGGGACTCGTGGCTCCCTGGTTCCACTTCCTTCGGCATCCTCCACACGGCTGCACATGTCAGGACTTTGCTGTCTGAAGCTAAGCAACAGAGGATAACGTCAACAGAGCATGGTGTGCGGCACATCCCGCAGACAGCACACCAACACCCACCCACATCCGGAGGCAGGGCATGTCTGCTCTGTAAAATATTTAACACTGCGGGCAGCAGAGAGCAGAGAGCAGCACGGACCCGGCGTCAGCCAGCAGAACAGGCACTGCTCGCAGTCAGCAACTGCTTAACCCACTGGTTCCTTGTTTGAAAACCATCACCATTTCAGAAGAAAATTTAATTTCCTCAAAATCGATTTCCTTCCGTTCTTCTTCAACAGTTCTTCAAAGAAGGGAGCAAAATGGGGGGGAGGGGTGCTAAAGATATACAGTCATGTGCCGCATAAGGACATTTCAGTCGACGACGGACCACACAGACGGCAGTGGTCCCATAAGATTAGTCCCATAGAGCCTAGGTGTGCAGTAGGCTAGACCATCCAGGCTTGTGTAAGTACACTCTACAATAGTCACAGCACGATGAAATCGCCTAATGACGTATTTCTCAGAACGTGTCCCGTTGTTAAGTGACGCGTGACTGTAATCACCACGAATGCAACTCAGGTCTGTCTAAGGTTGGCACTGAATGGATTCTTCCTCAGAGCCTTGTGAGAGCATCGTACACAGGCACCAAGCACCCTGAGCAGTACTCCATTTGGAAATAGTGTCACCGGTGCTATCTGACCCCAGTCCACTACGGCAGTGAGTCCATGGAGGCAGGGGCACCGCAGGCTGGGCCCATATGGCGGGTTTTGGTGCGCCCTGGCTCGCCTGGCAGAGAGCAGCCCAGTGCCCGGTGTGACACTTTCCACTGAATCACCAGCCACATGAGCACAGCATCTCCTACCAAGATCAGCATCCTCACACGCTCCTGCTGGTGGCTGCTCAGTACCCCTCAGAGTCCCGACACTCTTGATTTTTATGAGACTCTGGGAATCCGTGCATTCTTAGAGCACCATGAAAAGCCACTTTATGGATAAAGAGACTAAACTTAGATGAGAAAGCCTGGGGTCACTTGTTTCCAGGGAATGTGCCAGACCCTGGGTCTCTGCCCCTCTAGAAAAACTTTTCAGTAAGACGAAAAGACAAATAAGACAAAATAATCAGATTTAATAGTATATGATAAAAATTGAATCATAAATTCCTAAATCTAAATCCTTTCTAAATTTGCTTTCCATTTAGTTCTAAACTGGATATGTGCTAATAAACACCTTCCCCTTTTAAAATCAGCATTTAATAAATGACGATAAAACAACAAACAGGTTTCAACATTAAATCATCAACCAATATCAAGTGAAGAATATAAAAGAATTGGAGAACAAGAAAGAACACCTCATGAGAAGTATTTCCGATACATGAAATGAGAAAAAAACAAAGGACCTGACACTACAGAAAATGCCCCACTTCTGATTAGCTACAATGGTCCTTCAATCTAAACACCAACTAATCAACCAGGAAATAGAGCAGCAAACACAATGGGCAAAATGCCTGGCTTCATGGGTAACATTATTATTACTGTGATCAGCTGACCAAATAATACGTAGAAGGATCAAAAATTCAACCACAGCTTCCCCATCCAATCTCAGTGCTCTTAGGGTCTGAAAGAGACGAAACTGCAGCTGAAAAACAAAGAGTCACATGTGTCACAGATAGACACTTAAGGCAACATTTCCATTTTAACTATGAAAATATAGCACACAATGGTTTCTGTCTACATGAGAAACTAATTTTTTTGCTGAAATTTTCAGTTACATAGTCTTTTTGTATAGCCTCTGAGATTGGCAATGGCATTCCCAAAAATACAAGAATAACCGAAGAGAGAGTCGGCAACTTCGAGTGGAAAGAAGAAATGAATGCCGGAAACATTTACCCAACAGAGGCACAGACTATATTGATCTTCCCAAATGACAAAAGAAGAAATGTCTAATCCGAAAAGTGATGCAACTAATAATGTAAGAACACTGTGGCTGCACTGCAAAATGAAGAAATGCACAAAATGACAGAAGGTATGGGATAGTAAAAATAGCTATTACGTGGAAAAAATAACTAGTGGCAGATTCCCCTTGAACAAATTCCTTCTTTGGAGAATCTGGTTCAGGTGTCAGGAAAAGAGCTCTTCTCCTGTCACTGCCTGCTCACTCAGCAAACCTAACAGTTGGGGGTGAAATAGTAAATGCTTTCCCCTTGAGACAAGGAATGAAGCAGGTATGCTTTGTATTACCACTTCTAGTTAACATTATACGAGAGGTCCCAACTACTTCAGTATGACAAGAAAAAACATAAACGTTTACAAATAGAAAAGAAGAAATAAAAATACCAAAACTTGCTAATGATTTTGTGTGTAGAAAATTTAAGAGAATCTACACTATATTATTAGAAAGACAGGGAATTTAGCAGAATTGCTAAACACAAAGGTGGTATATAAAAATCAATTGGATATTTATAGATTAGCAACAAAAATTTAGACAATGAAATTTGAAACAATATCCACACTAGCATTAAAAAATCAAATATCCAATAATACCTCAGATTAAAGATGCGCAAAATGAAGAGTACTGCTGAGAGAAAGTCAAGATCTAAATAAATGGAGGGGTCTACCATGTTCACGGATTGGAAGCTGCACTACTATAAACAGTCCGTGAGCCTCGATCCAAGTTCCAGCCAGCTTTGGGGTAGAAATCAACAACCTGCTTCTGAAGTCAGAAAACCACACGGGAATGTGAACTGCCCAGACAGCCAAGACGGCCACGAAGAAGAAGAAAACTGGATGATTTCCAAATCCGGTGCTAGTTTAGTATCGGTACACAGACAGACAAATACCCCATAGAAAGAAAACGAAGCCCACACAGACCTTACAAAGATGGTCACCTGGTTTACAAGAAAAATGCCATTGCGTTGGAGTGGACAAAGGACGGTCTTTTCTGGATCAACTATATATCCACACGAAAAAATGAACTTGTATCCTGCCTCACAACATACTCAAAAACCAACTCCAGGTAGACTGAAGGTCAAAATGTAAACGGTAAACAACACAAACCTCTTCTAGAATACATAGTAGAATACCTCACAACCTTGGAAAAGCAAGGATTTCCTAAACAGGGCAGAAAAAACACTAATCATAGGGGAAAAGATTGATAACGTAGAACTCATTCAAATTAAGAACTGCTATTCACCAAAACACACTGAACTTCATCAAAATTAAAAACTTCTGCTCTTGGAAAACATTGTTAAAAAAATGAAGCAAAATTGGGAGAAAATATTCATAATACATATGTCTAACAAAGGACTGGTGTCCAGAATATATAAAGAACTCTTACAACTTGATAATAAGACAAATAACCCAATTTTTTAAAATGGGCACAAGACTGAATCAGACACTTCACAAAAAGAAAATATATGTCAACAAGCACCAGAAAAGATGCTCAATATCAACAGTAATTGGAGAAACGCAAAATAAACCCCAACTGAGAAACACTACACACCTACTCGAATGGCTAAAATTTAATTTAAAAAAGATCAACAATACCAAGCATTGGCAAAGATGGAGAGCAACTGAGCCTCTCCGAGATTGCTAGAAAGAGCGTAAAATAGCACAAACATTTTGGAAACCACTTTGGCAGTTGAACATGGACTTACCAGATGACCCAATAATTCCACTCCTAGGAGAGGCTGTCACAGAGCATCACAAAGCATGACTTGTTGATAACAAGCTTGGTGACCACTCTCTGACTCCAGCAGTTAAACCTGGCCCCAAAGCAGTGGTGGCCTGCTGATGGTATGTAACTGCCAGAAGTCGAGGGGAGCAATTATCATAAAGACCAACAAGGCCAGGGTGCCAGCCAAGGAAGGCCAACTGGCCAAGAGCTGTGGAGACAGATAACATGAGACGGCATTCCTAGGAGCAAAACAGATGGCCCTCCAACAGGGTACTGCCTGCCTAATACATGCATGCATGCATACATACAAATTCAAAAGAAAATAAGAATGAATGAGCAGGAGGCTGAGGGAAGTCATCCCATTACAGGAGGCTGAGGGAATTCACCCCATTACAAGTCATGATCCCCTACACAGCGCTGGTCTGAGCCAGTTTCAGACCCGGGACCCACTGACAGAAAATATAGCCAGATCCCCAGGAGTTAGGAACACGCAACAGTAGGGCAAGTACATACTGTAATGATTACCCCAGTCTGTGCCCAAAGACCTACTGCCACTTACCCTGGGCAAAGGGGACCCAGACAGTTCAAGGTCTACTGAACATAAGGTCTGAGACCCAAAGTGTCATCATGCCCCCTGTTAAAGTGGCGACATTTGGGGGCCAGGTAATAAATGAAGGCCTGGACAGGGCCTGGTCACAGCAGATCCATTGGGTCTGCGGACCCAGCAAGTGGTCATTTCCATGGCCCATGAACGTAAAATGGGACTGACAGATGGCAGGTGGTAAAACGCCCCCACTGGGTCTGTGGCCTGTGGGGTTAGTGGGAGGTCAGACGGAAGCCTCTGACCCTGCCCCCTCACCCCACTCCGGCAAAGGGCAGTGGAGACACGTGCCCACTTTAAGGGTCAAGGGCATGAAGGGCCAGGGCCTTGTTTAATTCACCATCTGGCCTCTGCAGAAAGTGAGTGGGTTCTGGCCAATGACTGTGGGCTACTATAAGCTCAACACAGGCAGGGCCCGCTCATAGCTGTGGTGCCAGGAACCGGACACTCCTACGTGGTCCCGTGTCCCCAGCACGAGGACACACGGGCCTGGGAACTGGACACTCCCATGTGGTCCCGTGTCCCCAGCACAAGGACACACGGGCCTGGGAACTGGACACTGCTCCATGGTCCCGTGTCCCCAGCACGAGAACACACGGGCCTGGGAACTGGACACTGCTCCGTGGTCCCGTGTCCCCAGCACGAGAACACACGGGCCTGGGAACTGGACACTCCCACGTGGTCCCATGTTCCCAGCACGAGGACACACGGGCCTGGGAACCAGACACTCCCACACG